AAATTAAATAAATTGAAATGTAAAAAAAAAAAAAAAAAAAAAACCGATGAGACTTGGTTGCTTCTATCTTTGGCTTCCTAGGCAAGGCAAATTTGCGCTTTATTTTTTATATTCGTGAAGCAAAAGCCAACCTTTTTCTCATTCTTTTCTTGGCCTTGCTTCTCCAACTCCAAGTAGTAATCATGAATTCTGAAAATTGAAATAATCCTCAATAGATTTGATGCACACCCTTTTTTACATTTTTTTGACAGTATTAAATTATGTGAAATCAAGAAAAAAAATGAAGTAATAGTCTTAGTTCAACATTCAACTCAGATAATTAGACGGTGTTAGGTTGGACCAACTGTCCATTTTTGAGAATTCTCTCTTCACTTTTAGAACAAGTGTGTCGAATCAATTTAGACCTATTCATTTTCTATGGACGAACTGAATGAAGAAAGTTTAAACTTTGACGCGGTAAAGTTGTTTCTTTTTTATATACGTAATGACTACCAAAAAAAACTATGTACATTCTACAATGTGAATGATCATACGTGATTCTATCAAATGTGATTTTTACTGGTGCTGAAAGTGAAGTGAGAAATGATACGTTTTTTGTCAAATATATCATGCAACTTTAAGGAAAAGGTGAGAAAGAGAATGCTTGCATGCCAAACTAACAAAATAAAATTCATTAAGCAATCGGTTATTGAGTTAATTTAATCAATGGTCACTGAACTTTATGAGAGGTAACTACTTGGTCGTCAAAGTTTAAAAGATTGCTCTTTACCCACTGAATTTTATTATAAATTACTACTTGTTCATTGAAATTTAAAGAGTTAATTATTACTCATCCAAATTTGGACAAAGTTACTGATTAATCCCCATATCATTTTCACGAGTGTTATCTATTGCAAAATTTAGTAATCAACGAGTAACTTTATTCAAATTTAAGTTAACAATAAGTAATATTTTAAATTTCAATAAGTAAGTAGTAACATATAATAAAGTTGAGCGAATAACAAGTGACCTTTTAAAAATCAATGAATAAGTAGTAACGTATAGTAAAGTTCAGTGATAATTCATTATATTATCTTTGGGGTTTTCTTCACAAATTTGCTTAGTAAATAAATTCAAGAATATTGGTCAACTGTCAACCTAAAACATACGTATGATGTCTCATTTCTCACCAAAAGTCGATCACAATCAAACAACTCCAAATCCATGCTTAGATAATTTTTTCTTTACTTCACTGTGTGTGTGTGTGTCATTTTCAGTTTTGTCATAGCATATTCTGGTTGACCCCACAACTGGACCTGTCAAACAAATTGACTTACCTTACATGTTGATGTTACACTTACCAAATCTCATTTACTTTCGCAATTTATTTTACTTTTTCTATCAGTTTGGTCATCATTAAATTTCATTTCATTACATTTTATTTTTCTTTCTAATATTTTCAACTACACAATAATAATAAATCGAAAATTTTTCCTTATTTTTCAACAACTAATTTTTCAAGAAAATACTATTTCACTCATTTTCATTTTAAAAAAATGGAGGCCAAAGAGGGGATAATTTACATTTTTTATTTAAACCCTTGTTTGATTCTCATTTTTTCTCAAAATATATATTTTTCTCTCTTCTTTTCAATCACACATTCTTTAATAAAATAATATAATGCGTAAACCCAAAACTTTTTTTTATTTTTTAGCCACACATTCTCCATCAATTTACTATTTCAATATGCATTCTTCACATTTTTAATGGAGCTCAAACAGGGCCTAAATAAGAACATAGAAGAGTAAGAGGACATTTCTTTAGAACGAACAAAGCAGTGAGAAGAAATTAAATAATTTCATTTTTTATAAGTTTTTTTCTTAAAGGGAAATTAGCGAGGAACAAACGGTATAAAAATAGATTGTGTAAGGTTCAAGTTAACTATATCCTATTAATTAGGCCTGGGCAAAAAAATCGCCAAACCACCCAAACCACCAAACCAAACCGATTCGGTTCGGTTTGGTTCGGTTTAGAGTAGTCAAATGGTTTGGTTTGGTTTTTTGTAGACAAAACCACGGTGGTTTGGTTTGGTTCATGGTTTGAATACCAAAACCGACGGTTAACCGCCCAACCCGTTACATATTGAAACATTTAAAAAAAAAAAAAAAAAAAAAAAAAAGGGGGACTCATATAAAATTTTTTTTAAAAGGGAAAAAAAAATCCTTAAAAAAATTTTTTGGG